TTTGACAAAGCTAATGGAATTAATTTTTATTAAATTAGCTTTGGTTTTCTTGCCTGCTCAATGGGTGGGGAAGGAAAAGGAGAAAATTTGGAACTAAAAATAAAATAAAATTGTAAAATGAAAGAAAAGAAAAAGAAAATTAAGTCAAAATGATTGTGATATTTAGTTAAGCATTCCTCAAACTGTTTTCTCTGATGGTTTCTGGATTTCTGTGGAAAAGGTTGATGATGGTAGCAGAATTTTCTCCATCAGGTATTCAATATGAAATTATGTATCAAAAATAGGAACTAATATGTAATTATTTTTCCCCAAAATGTCTAGATACATAGAAATTTACACATAACATCTGTGCCACCCTTCTGACCAGAATATGTGTATTCCAGGAGTTGGCAAACTTTTGCCTTGAGGGCATAGCAAGCCTGTTTTTGTGAGCAAAGAATGGCTTCTACATTTTTAAATACAATAAAATTTTATTTAAAAAGTGTAAAAACTATTCTTAGCTGGTAGGCCCTGTTTGTGACCGACCCCTCCTGAATTGAATGTCAAGTTCCAAAGTATTGCATGACTATTTTGACTCTAAAACTGAGAAGATGGAGATAAGGTGGTGTGGTAGATAGAGCTCCGGCCTGGGAGTCAGGACGACCTAAGTTCAAATCCAGCTTCAGACACATGATACTTACTGGCTGTGTGACCCTGGGCAAGTCATTTAGCCCCAATTGCCTTACTAAAAAAGGGGAAAAAAAAGAATTGATTGTAGCTCTTTTAATCAGTAATTTTGGTAAACATCATCATACAGTCAAAGTTGAGCTGTGGGCATCAGTTTACTCTCAGGTTGATGCTGGCCAGTTTCTTTAGGGGAAAAAACCCATCTGTGATAGGTAAAATTAAATGCCTAACTTAAGTTGAAAAACCAAGGACATATGGAGCTAAATTTAGAATTTCTGTCCTTTTCAAACCTAGTTGTTTCAAGGTGAATCAGAAGGGAACGCATGGTTTTATGGATTAGCAATGTGTTGTGTACCTGCAAGGAATGTCCTTCAAAGTAGTTATATAAAATTAGGTAAGATTAACCCAATGAAGAATTCTTCAGATTTATGATACAGTAGGATAGGATGAGGATAATTTCAGATATGATGACTTAAGGTTCAGAGGCTATTAAATTGTGACTTTAGTGGGGAGAAAATGCTTTGATGTTTTGATGGAAACTGCATCAGAAGAGAAAAGTGTAAGTGCATCGTGTTTCATGTTGCTGTTTATATTTTGGGGACTAGTGCAGAAAGTGAACCAAGAGGGCGTGGCTGCATACAATTAAAATTCTAGAAGAGTAGACTTTATACAGCTAATCCTAACAGAGCCTTAATTGTGGGGAGCAGCTGACAGCTTGAGTTATAATGTGCCAACTTGGCTACTAGGCTAAACCAAGGGTCTTGGTGTTGATGGGACTGAGTACAGTTTAGATCTCGATGGCCTGTCACCTTTTGGTTTGCTTCTACCTTTTTGTGTTGTGTCCTTGAGGAGTCCTTAGGAATATCACATTTTTTCTGTCTCTCAGGGTCCGGCTTCTCAGTGTCCATTATCCACCTGGAAGAGTAATAATCATTGAGTGTCAACTAGTCAGTCATCCAACATATGCTCATTGAGTGCCTAAGGAAATTCTAGGTGGAGTGCTGGTGCTGGTTCTGGTGCTCGGCTGTCTCCTAGCCCTCAAAGAGCTTTTGGTCTATAAACACACAGTAATTTCAGGGGTGAAGGTTGGCAATCAAGAAAGGCCTCTGGTAGGAGATAGTACTTGAGCTGGTCTATAAAAATGGTAGATGTGAAGAAAGGGCATTCTCTATGTGGAAGACAGCCTGAGTGTGGTTGTTAGAGGTGAGGGCTAGCAATGGACCATTTGGCTGGAATAGAGAGTTTATAATGAAGAGTAATTTATAATAAGCCCAGAAAGGTAGAATGGAACCAATTCGCAAAGGACTTAAAATGCCAAGCAGAAGAGTTGCCAGTAGGCATTGGAGCTTTTTGAGCTGAAGAGAGACCTAAGTCTGACCTATGCTTTTGGAATATTAATTTGGCAACTGTGTGGGAATTAGATGGGAGACCAATTAGGAGACTGTTGGAGTGGTATAAGAACTTAGTAGTAATGATAATGATGATGATGATGATGATGATGATGATGGTAGAGCAGCTAGGTGGTGCAGTGCACAGAGTGCTGGGCGTGGAGTCAGGAAGACTCACCTTCCTGAGTTCAAACCCAACCTCAGAGACTTACTAGCTGTGTGACCCTGGGCAAGTCACTTTACCCTGTTTGCCTCAGTTTCCTTATCAGTCAAATGAGCTGGAGAAGGAAATGGCAAACCACTCTAGTATCTTTGCCAAGAAGACTTTGGATGAGGTCAGAGTTGAATAAGACTGAAACACTGAAATGACCAGGACAAAAATAGTAATAATAGCATTTATATAAGCTTTATTGAGTATTTTACTCATGTTATCTCATTGGATCATCACAGTAACACTGGAGGCAGATGAGATAATTACCCCCATTGTAGGGTGAGATCTCTGAGGCTGAGAGAGGTGAAAGTGACTTGCCTTAGGCATACCTAGGCAATGCCTGAGGCAGGTTTTGAATTAGGGACTTCCTAACTTAAAGTCCAAAAACTATGTGTCAGTTATGCCACCCACATGAATCCCTAAGTACTTCAAATTTTACCAAGCACTTTATATCCTTTATCTCACTTGATCCTTACAACAGTCCTGTGAAGCGTTTCAGTCAGCATTTTTATTTTTATTTTATTATTTTTTTTCAGTCAGCATTTATTAAATATCTACTATGTGCCAATCAACGAACTAGGTGTTGGAGATATAGGGACAAAGCCAAGCAATCCTTGTGCCTAGGGAGCTTAAGTTCTTTTAAAAAAAATTATTGATACCTTTTGTTTTTGCCTAATTGCCTACATTCTGCACTGTGTGGTCCCCCACAGTTCCCATCCCTCCTTCCTCCCAGAGAGCTATCTCTTATCATTAAGAACACAGAAGGGAAGGAAAAAGTTCACCTAATTAACCAGTCAGTTGAAAAAGTCTGATGTTATATCATATCCATGGTTCCCCAGTTCTATAAAAGAAGCAGGGGGAGGTGATTTTTTGTATCAGTGAGCTTACATCCCAACTGAGAGACAGCATGCACAAGTTTGCCAAGATTAAAGGGGAAGAGGGTGATCACTCTTAGGTGGTGGAACCTGGGGAAGTCTAATGCAGAAGACAGCTTCTGAGGCCATCTGTGAAGGGAGCAAGGGATTCTATGGGATGATGGTGAGAAAGGGTGCCAGCTGTAGGCCTGGAAGACCCCTAGCTGGGGCCCAGAGACAGGAGAGGTTGTGCTGTGTGTGCAGAGCAGGAAGAAGGCCATTTTGGCTGTACCAGATGTAGTGTATAGTGTGCAGAGAGGAGAATAAAGTGTCTAAGCCTGGAAGAGAAGGTTGTGAAGAGCTTTCAATGCCAAACAAAGGTATTTGATCCTAGAGGGAATAGGCAGCCCTTCTAGTAACCCAGGCAAGTTATGAGGGCCAGTATGACTAGAAACCTGGGAGCAGATGGGAGAAGTGTCGGGAAAGTAGAAACAAAAAGTTTGATTTGTTTAATTAGATATCTACTGTTGATTAGATATGTGGGGTGAATAAGAGTAAGGGATTGGTGATGACATCAGGGTTGTGAACCTGAGTGATCAGGAGGATGATGGAACCCTAGACAGAAATAGGAAATTACATATATTGTTATTCCATTTTGAGTGGTGGAGAGCTGATGTCAGAGGTAGGATTTGAATCCTGATCTCTTGGCTCATTAGTCTAGTACTTTCTATGACACTGACTCCATGCTGCCTCTTCAGTAGGAAGACACTTTAGTATAGTAGAAAGAGCACTGTATTTGGAGTTAAGGGCCTGTATTTGCATGTCACTCAAGTAGGTAAGTGACTTGGGACAAATTCCTTTACATCTGTTCACTTTATTTAGTTTCCTCATCTGTAAAATGAGATGGCTCATACTTGTATCTTTAAACCTTAGAATAATGTTTTGGGGATCAAATATAAAGTGGTCCGTAAACCTTACAGAACTTTATAAGTGCTGACTGTTGTTCTTATAGACAAGGAGAGGCTTCCTGGAATGGTAATCCTCCTTTTTCTTATTAAGCTGCCAGGCTTTGTTTTTTCAGGGCTCCTTCCTACCAGATAGGAAGGAGACTCAGACCCTGACCCATCCTGTGTATTTGCCAGAGACTCTTAATTGAAACCAGGGCAAAACAGAGTCAAGATCCAAAAGGAAATGGACCATTCCAGAATTGTCCTCTCTTTGCACAGGATCCTACCATGTGGCTGTCCTCTGCCTATGAAGCACAGTTCAGGCAGGGTTTTTCAAATATTTGACACTTTTCCTCTTCTGTGAGGGCAGATCATGATGATAGTATGTTTCGGTTAGAGGTATTGAGCCATTGGAGATTTCAGAGTAGTACAAAAGAGGCCTGTTTTCATAACTTAGAGCAGTCTGAAGGTGATACTTCTGAGATGTTTGCAGTCATGCAGTTCTGTTTGCTCAGTAGAACTCTGTGTGTGTGCCATTTTAAAGCCATTGGCATATTTTCTCTTTTTTTACTTTTTCTTGGATTTAATTGTGATGTGAATGTCTGAATTACTATTGAACTCTTAGTATGTTTGGTAAAATGCCAGGCTTTGATTTTTTTGTAAAGTCTATATTATAACTCTGGTGAAGTAACTTGTACCAGATAAAATTAGATGCATAGGGATTGATTACTATGACACATTGAGGTTAATTTGTTTGGATACCTGTTGTAATTTAGATAGGACCATTTTCCAGCAGGGATCAGGAATATGCATGAAAAGAATCATTTTTAATGTATTAGCCAGGCTTTCTTGTTTATAGTATGTGTATATTATATTATGATATTCTTTTGGGGAGAAACTCAATTTAACGTACTGGTCTTTTATTACTTCAAAGGACTGGCCATTTGATGATGGAGCTCCACCTCCTAATCAGATAGTAGATGATTGGCTAAACCTATTAAAAAGCAAATTTCGAGAAGAGCCGGGTTGCTGCATTGCTGTGCACTGTGTTGCAGGACTGGGAAGGTAAGTGCTTGGCCTTTTTTCAGTGAATGCATTAGCATGCTGAGGTAAGTCAGCTGAAGGTTTCAGTTTGTCAGGAATTGGCATTCATTCTGCTGAGTAATGGGCAGCTGGGTGACACAGTGCATAGAGCACCAGGCCCAGAGTCAGGATTACTGGAGTTGAAATCTGGCCTAAGCACTTAATAGCTGTGTGACCCTGGGCAAGTCACTTAATGTTCTCTGCCTCAGTTTCCTCATCTGTGAAATGAGCTTTAGAAGGAAATGGCAAACCACTCCATTATCTCTGCCAAGAAAACCCCAAATGGGGTCACAAAGAGTTGGAAATGACCGAAACAACTGAACATAAACAGTGGCACTAAATAATATTAAATTGCCCTGAAGAAAGGAAAATGAGAGTAAAGCCTGGTGATGATTTTGTATCTATTTGGATTGAACTTCTCGTTGGTTTTTTGCCTACTATAGTTGATCTTGGTATTTGGTATATTAGATGCTTTGTTGGTGATATCAGTTTATTATGATTTACCTTATATCTCTGAATTAAAAGACATTATAGAGGGGCAGCTAGGTGGCACAGTGGATAGAGCACTGGCCCTGGAGTCAGGAGGACCTGAGTTCAAATTCAGCCTGAGACACTTGACACTTACTAGCTGTGTGACCCTGGGCAAGTCACTTAACCCCATTGCCTAGCCGGGGGGGGTGGGGAAGACATTGGAGATTCCCAGCATTCCCTTTCTCTTGACTTTTCCAAGCAATTAAATATTCAACTTATTATATTCTGCAATTATTACTGTTTTTGAGTTAGAAGTTTGTTTCACACCCTTAAAGATGATTATTTTTGGCTTTAAATGAAGAAACTATAAGAGAATGAATAGTTTTATTTTAATCTCCCCGAAGAGATTTATGAAGATTAGTGACCGTTACGATTTAAAAGCTTTTTTCCTTTTGCAGTATCCCAAAATGCATGGCACCTTTTGGGTCAGCAGATTAAACTGCCTGTTTATGATAAGAACTTGGACTCAGAACATGAGTTGAAACTATTTTTGCCTCAAGATAAAGGTTACTCAGGCTCAGTTCTTTTCAGACCCTAGACTTGCTTGTTCTTGTCTTTCCGCAGCTTAGAAAGCAGTTCCTGTTGTGTCTCCTGAAGCTAAGGGGAGCTTTCCAGACCAGTTCTGGGCATTTTGGTGTCTGCTCTGTGCTCATAATCTAGGATGACAGTTGGTAGCCTGTGTTGGATTTAAAGGAGTAACCTTGGGAGTTCTTTCCAATTACCAATCCTCCAGTATTCTCTCCCTAAGCTAACAAAAAAGGATTATAGCAATTTGGGGACATCCAATGAGGGGAAGTATTAACGCCATCCTGGAAATGAGAATTTAGAAAGCACTCTTACAAGATTAGGGATGTTTTTGGTTCTTTTGCTGTGATAATGGTCAGGGCCAGAATTTTACATTTTGGATGGCGGACCTAGAAGGCTTTCAGATATAAATCATGACATTTCAAACACAAAGAACTTTTGACATAGCCTTAAATTTAGTGCTTTGCTAAGAAGAAGTTGTAATGATGGAGAGATACTGTTGTAGTACCTTGTGTACTAAGGTAAAAAGTGTTTCTTCTTTAGTAAGTATGACAATCCTGTGTCTAAAAATCCTTTAATCCGAAAGGTTTGTGGTTATTTACAGATGGGTTTCTTCTTGTAGGGCACCTGTGCTGGTTGCACTTGCTTTGATTGAATGTGGAATGAAGTATGAAGATGCAGTTCAGTTTATACGACAGTAAGTACGGAATTGTGTGTTCAGCAAGCCTGTGGTACAAGGTACTACAGGAGGCTCATGGCCTTGCCTTCTGAGCACCTTGATATGGGCTAATGAGAGGTGGAAGAGAGAAAGATTTCATTTATAGTACATATTCACTTGCTGTCTTTGGCCTAAAAATCCTGTGGCTGACAAAGACACAGTCCAGTTCTCAGAGGCAACACCGTCCTAAGGGCTTGGAGACTTTCCACTTGGTGTGGCAAATGCAGATCCTCACGTGATTTAAATGAAGAGAAGCAGCATAGATAAGTAGTGAGGGTCATTCATGCTCAGGCAGGGCTTGGGATAACCTAGAAACTGACCGTAACTCTCAATACTGTTATGAATAAGTAAGAAACTGTGTATGAAGAATTGTTTAATCTCTTTGTGATACTGTATATTCAGTTATTCATGTCCAAAGTCAGGGTGGTAACAACCTATAGATTATGTTAGAGAGGACTTTGTCTTGTTTCACAGTTTAGCATGCTGGTCAGAAATGTTGGCAGCTACCACCTGGCCCACGCCTTCTGAAGAGCAAAACAGTCCCTATGTAACTAAACCGAGAATCTGAAATGTTACTTAGTGTCTGTCAAATGGTGTCTTCTCAGAAGACACTCCCTCTTCCTGTCTTGAAGCATAGCCCTTCCTTCCCCATCCTTCAGTGGATATTGCTATTGGAAAAAAACACCCAGCACACCAGTGTATAAGCTAATGAAGTAACACATTACTCTCTTGGGCAAAAGTTATTCTCTTAAATGTCTTAAGATATGCTCTTCAGATCTTAGTGTAGCCATTTGTGTGGCACGCCCACAGAGAATTGAAGGGAATTTTCCCATTCCTTCTCCTGGGGGGACCATAATGTTTCATTGTAGACCTTTTCTGTTTTGAGGTGATGCCCTGTGAGAAAGGGGGTAGGTTTTAGTAGTTGAGTTTTAAAATGGCCTTGGGCTGCAAACAGCAACAGCAACATATTTAGCTTAATTAGTGAGGAAGAATTTAGCTCATATTAAGTTGTGGTTCTTCTATTTTCAGAAAAAGAAGGGGAGCATTCAATTCTAAACAGCTGCTTTACCTTGAGAAGTACCGACCTAAGATGCGATTACGCTTCAGAGATACCAATGGGCATTGCTGTGTTCAGTAGAGAAAAAGCCGAATTTGATTGTGGTTTTTTTTTTTGTTTTTTTTTTGTGTGTGTGTGTGGGAACTCTTGGTACCTGGAAATGTGAATCTGGAATCTATGTCATCAAAGTAGTGATGGGAGTCAGTGCTCCTTAACCTCTGTCCTAATGTTTTAAAAACAAAACAAAACAAAAAGAAAACCCTCTGTGATGTGAGTAATAAAAAGTTTAAAGAGAGAGAAGGGAAAAAAGGATGAATTCAGTGAAGGATGATTTTCTCTCAGTGTTGCAGTTTGAATTTCTGCCAGGAGTGAATCATTTCTCAACCTCCTGTATTTTTTAACTTTTTTCAAAATGGGGTCTCTAAGGAAAACCAGCAGAACATTGGCCTGTGCAAAAACCATCTGTTTGGGGAACACACCTGACAGTTAGGCCTGGCCCATCCACCTCTCTGTGGCATTTCCTCTCTGGTTATCTTTCCCTCGTCCCCCGTGTGTGTGTGTGTCTGTGTGCTCAAGTGCATGTGTGTGTATGGACAGAGGCGAGGAGGAGCCCTGGGTGCTGTGGGTGTGTACAGTCTGACAGCCTTAAGCCCAACTGGGCACTTTGAGAAATAACAGTGGCATTGGTGTTCTGTGGCCCAGGGGATTGGTTCTTAGTCTTGAATAACAAGGAGATGTTCTTTTTAGTCTTTCTTTTCTTTAAAATTCAACCTACCATTAGGCAGAGCAGCCAAGGAACCCTTTTTTTGGGGGGGAGGGCAGGGTTTGAAGGTTGGGTTTTTTGTTTTGTGTTGATTTTGTTTTTGTTTTGTAATTGAGGTGGGGGTAGTATTAAGAGGAGTATATCTTCTGTTATGTGTGCATTCATACTTGTCCAAAGAACTTAGCTAAAAGATGAACTGTTTCCTTCTATTGCCTAAGTAAGAATATGGAGCAAAAGCTAAGTGGATTGTGGGAAGATGAACTTTTTTGCTAGGTGGGAGGAAAGGCCTCCCTCTTCCGAGTCAGACTGGTCCTCTTCCTCCAGAGGCCCTTCCAGGCAGGGAGTTAGCATGCTTTTTTCCTACCCATTACAGACATGCCAGCTGTAGCCATTTTTCAGACTTGATGTCGGACAGTGTCAGAGCCCACCAGTGGTTTGAAATGCCTGTTTCAAGACTAGTTTGTGTATTGTGGGTGAGTTTTCATGGATAGTCAGAGTAGACGGTCCACAATTGTGGACTTGAGAATAACTAAATGCCTGGTGTGGGTATTCCCAAACTGGCCCTTGTGTACAGTTTCAGTTTAACCACTGATTGCCTTGTTCTTTTCTTACTCGATTCTTTTTGAGATTAAAATCACTGGTTCAAAACCAGCAATGCCTGTTGAGTGTTTCGTCCACAGGCCATGGCAGGGTAGAGAAGAGGCCTTGAATGAATCAGAGCCTAAGGAATCTGGAGTGGGGTGCTTGTGGATCAGTGTAGCATTATTTGTGGAGAGTCCTTGCTGGGTTCCATGTGCTCATCTGGACTTCCTGCTCCTTCCCAGGCAACAGCTCTAGCCAGGCTGATTTGATAGTACAGTGGGAGAGCCCTGACTAGAGCCCTCGTACTTTTTCACCTCAAGTTGCATATGTAACATTGTTCCACTTCTGAGGCTTGAGATATAGGCTTACGGTCACCTTGTCCTGCTGTGTCTTGCTGTGCAGAGCCAAAAACTTTTCATTTGTTTAGAGCGGCTGGGTCAGTGGGAATGGACTGGCCGGTACCTTGACTCACAGTGATACCTCAGATGCCGGCTATGTGAACTGCCTCTTTTCTTGTTCCCAGAGTTCTGTTTTGGTTGTTAGCTAAATGCAAAACTGCAGATTATTCTCTTTCCCCCTTCCTCCTTCCTCCTGAAAACACGAAATAATGCATTTTAAATTGTTCCTAGGGTTTTAAAGTTTAAAAAAATGATGGTACTATCCAAAATTTATTTCAGAACATGCCAATAGATTCCTTTTAACATAGGCCTAAGATCAAAACAGCACCCCTCAAAGCTCAGACAAGACTGTCTGTTTGCTCAAAGGTTATTTCATCAATACCATAATAAGCCTCTTGCCTTTGAAAATTTTATTTTCATTGTTGTTAAGAGGTAGGGCAGCATAGTGTCCCGCAACATCAGTGCCTACCTAGTTAGGAGAACATTCCTGGTTTTGTCCAATAAGAAGGGTGTTCAAGGCTATTGTCAATATTAGCCCTCTTTTTGTTTTGAACTGCAAACTAATGTTAACTATTCTCAGAACTGGATTTTTTTTTGTAAAACTGAAATGTTTTTCTTTTGAATTTAATGAAGTATTGCTAGCTGAAGCCAGTTTGACATGGTAAGAGAGATGTCGGACTGATTGAGAGGTGTGCAGCCTGATTCCAAACAAACTCTGAACCCTTTTAATGAACAATAAAACATATTTTACATGCTCTTTGCCTGCTTTTGCATTTGTTCTCCTCTTGGGTTTGCCGTGATTGATTATTCTGGGAAGATTGTTATTTTAAAGGTTTGTTCTGGGCCCCAGACTTCAAGTGAGTAGAGGTGAGTTGAGAGCCTGGTAAGCAGCACTAAGGTGTCGTGCAGCCCATATGTGAAACCTGGGCAAGTTTAACTGGAGTTGGGATGCATCTGTCACTTTTTCTGGTTCAGCTCTTGGGCGCAATGCAACAGGAACTTGTCCAACATCTTGCCTTACTGTTTTAGAGAATTATTTCATAGACTTTTCACAAGCATTACTAACTGTTCTTGAGCTCCCAAAGGGCAGTGAGGCCCCATAGGAATCAACTTTCCATGCCTAGGGGTTGGGGTTGTTGGGGAGGGTGGGCAGGGAGCAGCCCCGTGGGTTAGTGGAGTAAATAGTTAGCTCCATCAAATCCAGTCCTAGATTGGTTGTTTATGCCATATCAGTTATTTTTTGGTCCTTTCATAGCTGCTCAGATGAATTAAATTATTTCCTTCTCTGTTAGAACTTCTGAGTTACAGTCAGCTGGAGTGTTGGTAGATAGATAAGATCACAGAATTATCAGAGTTGGAAGGGACCTTAGAGGTCATCTAGTCCAGTGCCCTCCCCCCAATTTTTTTTTTCACTTGAGGTTTTTGTTAAGCATACTGAAACCTTGGGAAAAGGACTTTATTTCTGCCCTGCCTCCGCAGTAGGGCAGGTGGAGATTGGGGGAAAGGTGTAGACACTAGGTCCAGGAGGCCAAAGCCAGGGCATATGGGCAGGGAGGCTTGTCTGAGCCCAAGGATATTTTTCATAAAGGACACTCACCTGGGCAATACTTCAAGGGCTTTAGGAACCCTTTACTGCTTCTCTTTCATTCCTCAATACCCATTCAAATGCCTTTGGCAGTCTGCTGGGCAAGAACTCTCCCAAAGCAGGCAGAATCCCAGGTTGATTTCAGGCAACACCATTTCTCAATAAAATTTTCGTTGCACTGAGCTAAAATCAGTGTCTCTGACTTAGATCCATTAGTACTTGCCCTCCCTCAGTGTGAGGCAGAATATCTATTCACTTTTCCATGAGAGAGCTCTTGGAGATATCTGAAGACAGGGCTTATATTATCTTCCAGCAAACTATCTCAAGTTTTTTAATTCCTCAGGTAATGGCTTTCAACTCCCATCACTGTTGTGTCCCTCTCCTCTGGCTTATGAGTATCCCTCCTACAATATGGTGTCCAGAATGGAGCTGGACACAGCATTTTAGACATGATCTGACCAACATAGATTCCTATATTTAAATCTTACTGTGGCCATACCCATTGAGCCCCATGTGCCAATAGCAAGGTGCCTCTCCTCGCCATCTTGCCAACCTAGAGCTTGAGGGTAGCAGCAGACTACCAGGTAGATCTGCCTGGGCCATCATTTTTGAGGGGATGGCAAAAAAGGCTCTAGGATTCTTGCAGGTGCCTCTGGCCGTGGGAGTACAGATGTGCTAATTTGCCTGCCTGTTTTCAGTACAAGTTTTTGCTAATACTGCCCTTTTGAAGAAAATAGTTGATTTCAGTCATACCAACCAGCCACGATGAAGCCTGCTGCAAAGGGCACAAACTGCGCCACTGGTTTTTTAACGGTTTGTTTTTTAGAGTTGACTTTACATTGCTCCTGGCTAGTTTTGCACACAGGCAGTGTCACTCTAGTCCTGCTGTTGGAAGAAATTTTCAAGTGGATTTTATCTGCAGTGCATTAATGCATGGCCTAAATTCCTGCGGAGGCATAAGATAACCAGTCTGGACATGTCTTCCCAATCATAACTGGAGCCAGGCCGCTGATGCTTCAGCTTTACTCAGCGTAGATAAATGGCTTTTCAGAAAATGCTTTTCTAGTTAAACCCCAGGACTTGTGTCTCAGAGAGCCACAAGTTCAGATGGCTTGTAATTAGCCCATATTCACCATGCCGAGATAACGCACACAAATGGGGATTTATTAGTAAGGGTAGGTTTAACTCTAATCTCCTTTTATAACAAAAGGTTCTGTATTTTAAGGTTCATGGGATCACTTAGAATCAGTCTAATTTTCAAAAGTGCAAAATAGTAATGCCTTTCAAAATCAGGAAATATGAAATGTGATCCCAGTAATGTGAAAAGCATCTGAAGCTGTATTGCATGGGAAACTGGAGGGTATTATGCGATTTAATGTGGATTAGCATACATAAATGATTTCAATTAAAAATTATTCAGCTCTAGAACTGAAGAGTTGATCACAGCTGCATGAAAAATACCCATTAATCACCTAATGCTTTATGCAAATGGCTGTATTTGACTTTCATTTGGGTTTGCCATTAGCACATGGAACCAGGAGATTGATAGCAGGTAAAATTTAATGGATACAGAAATTAGATATTTAAATTAAATTTGGGCTAATTTACAGTACTTTTATTCATTACTACAAGTTTTCTTGCAATCTGAAGACCCCCATCACGTGGCAAAGAATAGAGAGAAGAAAGAGACTGCTTGACAGCTTCTCAAGGATGACAGACATCGGGAAGAGCTTGGAAGATCCGGGATGTAAGTGTTTGCCACGAAGGGAAATGGTCTACACAGGTCCATGTGTTTCATGGGTCGCTCTTAATCAAATGCCCAGTCTTTATGGTTTCTTAAATTTTACCTTCCTCACTATTTTCTTTCTCCTCCTTTCCTGAGCTGGCTATCCCACATGTCTAAGTATACTGTTTTACTGTTCCCATCTGGACAGTTGTCCTTTGAGGAACCTGATTGAAGTAGCTTTAGTGTTTCTGGGATGGCAGATTTTCATCGTGTAACATCATAATTCAACAGAGAACAAACATTTATTGATTATCTACTAGGTGCAAAACAATTCTGCTAGCCTTTGGGGAGATAAAAGAATTTAGTTATGGCAAAGCCTTTCCCCTCATGGAGCTTTCAGTATGCAGAGAATAAAGATAAATTCTCTGATAAATTAGAGATGATTTTGTAATTATTATAGTTTTATAATTAAAAGATAAAATTGTAATACACAATAATATTATTGTAAATATATTAGAAAGGAGTGGTTTTTTTTGGTAGCCAGCCATTAGGGAAATAAGGCAATTGACTTGGGCCACACAGTATAGGGAAGAATTCAACAGGTAAAGAGGGGAAGGGAAGATCTCCCAGGCCCAGGAAACAGTGAGCAAAGAAAGGCCAGAGGGAGGAGTGGACGGAATATTGTCCACTTTCATGAATAAGTGGATCTCCTGCTGTTCACCCACGTCTAAAATCCACTTGCATTCTTATAGCACATATTCTTTCTAGTCTAGAATATGTATTAGCTGAGTGAAATTGCTTAGACTAATGTTCAGAGTGACTCATTTGGTAAACAAGGTCAATTAGTGCTTAGTCATAAAGAAAACTTGTAAGAAACTCATTGATTGAGTTGGAAAAGACCTCAGAAATCATTCTTTTTACAGAGGAGAGGCCCCTGAGCCTCACATAGTCCAGGAGGCTTGTCCCAAGATCCCACAGAGCCAAGATTGGAATCCATATCTTTTGATTCCCTGTCCATTTTACATGAGTCCCATTTCTGTCCCTGGCTTTCTAAGTCATCTTAGTCGCTTCTTCTTTCTGGGCCTCTGTTTCCTGCTCTGTAAAAGGAGGTGGTGGGGTAAGATGTCCTGTGAGGTCCGTTTCATCTCTAGAGGCCTTTTCTAGTGCCCACAGTGAAGGGTGATCTCTGGATGTAACTGGTCCTTGGCGAGAAGGTGAGGAGGTATACCTGTTCTGCATTCTCCACAGTATCTGCTGCACTGTTGAAAGGCCGGTGCAGTTTAGTGAAAAGAATGTTGGAGTGAGTTAGGGTTGGATGGGACCTGACCTCGGGCCAGGCCCCTAACCTCTGGGATGACAATAGCACCTTCCTGACAAGATTTTGTAAGATTGAGCCCTTTGTAAAGATTAGGAGGTAGGGTTTTTATTTTTGATTGATCGACTGTGCAGGTTAGATCCTGATGTGTGTGGGAAGTCCTGGCCTTGGAGTTTCTGCCCACCCTCACATTGTGGTCATCGATGAGCCAAATGTGGGAGGGGGTGCGATTCTGCTAACACCAAAGCCCTCCTGAACTCCCACGTTTCTTCCTTAGATTAGGAGGAGCAATTGGCTGTCTTTGGTTGACACTGTTCAGGAGGGTGCCTGATGCCTGACCAAGTACTAGCTTGGTACTTCCTAGGTAGGCCTTCCTTGGCTGACCCACCACCCAGCAGACGCAGGAGCTTTTTAGGAATCAGGAAAGTCCTGTGTGACTGGCAACAAAAGTAGTCTGTTCAAAACAGCTCCTCTGACCATGTTGACCCCCTCCTTTGGGTTTACCCCATAAGGGGTTC